GGCTGTGTCAGGGGTGAGGGGAGGCCACGGGGTCTCGCCAGGTTCGTAACGCCCCTCTGTTTTCTGTTTGCTTTCCAGGTCACGAATCAGGTAAGCAGCTTTTTTTTTTTTTTTTTCCTTTTTTCCCCTCTGGGGTAACCTTTAGCCCTCCTCCCCCGCAGCCTTAAGCTTATCTCTCTTCCCCTTCGTAGTAGTAAAGGCTCCTGCTTCCCTAAGGAGAGGAGCCCCTTCTTCCCCCATGCGTGCCTGTGCTCTCTCTGCTGATGTCTCAGACCTTTCAGGACCTCCTCGGGAATCTCAAAGCATGTAGCATAATGCCAACACCCCGTATGAGAGTGAGAGCTGCGAATGGAAAGAGAATGATGTGTTTTGCAGTTAGGAGATAACCTGGTAATGTAACCTCTAATATATTTTAGGGTGGGGTTTAATTCATTAATTAGTGATTAAAGCATTATGGCATACGTATACATCCACATTTGGACCTGTATATGATGGCCTTGTGCATTTGCATGGGTCTACTTACATCAATGTGTCACAATCTTTTATTCTGCTTCGGATGACCGTAAGAAGTAGTTTATTTTACTGTATTTGTACTTTACTGCTTACTCAAGGCTGTGCCTCCTTGGTTAAATGTAAAAATGTGATTTGTTGCTCTCTTATTTTTGTTAGCATAGTAGAAACAACAATAGCATAAGAAACTTGTTCTAGGTCACAAAGACATGGAAGTACTAGATAAACTCTACCTGAAAGAAAATTATGTATCCTCCAGCCCTGCATTGTGCTCTCAGTGGTAATTTTGAGCATCTATAACAAGCATTAGAGGCCGGATATTGATCCCAGCAGGCCTATTGATAATGTTAGTGATAACGTTTGAGCTAAAAGAGTCTCTCTGCAGCAGTGAGATTACGTTCTTAAAACTGCTAGGTTGAAATATTTTGGAAATCAGGAATTTTGTGTGTGCAAAGAATGCATTTTGTTGTTGTTATTGTAATGGAGTAACTGAGCCTGTAGGAGACTGAAGGGCTGGCTGTTGCAGGGTCACTTTTCATTTTACAGTTCTTACAATACTGCCGCTGTGGAGCAACTTGCAAAGACTTTATTACGAGCTCTGAATTAAAACCAACACACAGCCCCACCAATTTTTATGTGGAGTACTCTATGAATTCCTCATATTTGCTAATATGGTATGACAACTTACTGATTTTTGAAATTTGGAGATTAAATTGTAATTTGGAAAAAAAGAGGTGCAATTAATTTTATAGTTCAATTTCAGACTCTATTTTTTTGTCATCTTCCAGGTGTTGAGATGTAGGAACTGAGGAGAAAAATCAATGATTGCTTCAGAATATCTGAATTATCCTGTATCATTACAGGTTTATGTTCATTTACTATTCTAGGATTTTCTCTGTATAACAATTTTAAGTGTGTTCAGAACCTCTCTCTCTTGCCCCCTTAGCTTTGTATTTGAAGGTAGGTGATGTGTATCAGCTGTGGATGATCATGAGTAATGTGAGCTTCTGCTCAATAGTGACTTTCTTGTCTAAAATTGCCTTTTCTGAAAAGAAATATTAACGATTTAGACTGTCTTTGGTGTATTTTGCCATTATCTGAGCAGTGGTTGTGGTTAATATCTAGAGTGAATGGTGTAGCCTTTAAAAGCCTTTGAATATGAGTACGCCTTGCATTATTAGTCATTGTTTTTTAGCCTTATAAGGATATGGGTAAACTGGACAACACCGGGTTTGTTAGTCAAGTTATTCATCTCCTGCTTATGTTTAAAACAATAATAGTAATATGAAATCTAAGTGAAGTTGTAAATATCCGATTGAGTTGATTGCAAGGACTGACTTTGCGGTACCCTGTAATGGATAAAAGTGTGTATGTGTATACACGCACATACGTAGATATACACACTCCAGAATTCTTCAGGATCAAAAAGTATGGTGTAGAGTATGTGTCTGGCAGTAATTTAATACATATATCTTTTTAATGATATAGATCTATGTTGGTTGGGTTTTTTTGTTTGCTTTTACCTTGGGTATTAGACTATCCTTGGAGCGGTGTGTTGAATATGCTGTTAGTGTTGCTATTGGCTGTATAAATAATAGCTTTTTAAACCAAAACATTTTCAATCACTTATAGGAAGCATGGATTCCCTTAGCATTATGCTATAATCAAAAGAATAATTAGGCTTTAACATATAATTAGTCAAATTTTATTCATTATACTCATTATTTTATTCACTTTTTTAAAAGTAACTGAAAAGGGAAATGTGCTAAATACATTTCAAAACAAGAGGGCAAGCCCTATGCTAAGGGCATATTAAGAGTATATGAACGTGTGTGTTGTCAAATTGAGACTCTTTCAGTCTTTGTGCTAGAAATTCAAATGATAATGGGGGGGATGGAGAAAAGTCAGGATTTCCTAGTTACAGGGGCATGAGATTGTTTAGGTGTGAAATCTTTCCGAAATACCTTAAGACTTTCTCCATTTGATGAAAACATCTGTATTATAATTCAAGTCTAAGAGCTTCTAATTCCTTAGTGTATAGGACCTCTGGTGCATTGGAGTTATTTGCAAGTTCAGAAAGTGCCTGGTGAGGGTAAACACAAATACTCTTAGCGTCAAAGATCTCAAATTGCCATGACTCACAGAACAGCACCACCACTTATCTGTTGTGATCTTTTTGAGAAGTCAGCATAATCAAATGTACCATACAGTGCTAATTTGATTCTGTCACAATGCTTTTTTTATCATTATCAAAGTCTAATGGAATGAATTGCAAAGTGTTGCTAGTCTACTTCTGGTACAGAAACAGTTGATGATTCAGCATGCACAGAGCTCCAGTTGTATACAGTGAATCAGTGATGGTGGGGGAAATGGTCTCTTCTCTTTGAGGCCCTTCAGCTGTAGGGCCTGAAGGGACCCGTGCTACTCCTTTTCCTGACCCTCTTATGACACTAATAGAACTTTCCCAGTATTGGGAGAGAGAACACAGGAAAAGTGGATTTAGCTGCCCGTTGTTTATGAGATGATGCTTGCCTACGTATCTTGTTCTGAATTTCTTTTCACACGCACGTGCACGCGCAAAGTGAGACTGCTTAAAAATTTCTGGAGTGAAAAGATCAGGCACAAGCTAATTGCAAGTAAGATCAAAGTGATGGCATGAGGAACAATCAAGGATTATTTGTTTGTCTGTGCTTGTTAAGGAACCAAGTACTGTCAGTAGCCAGATTTATCATTTTTGATCACTAGCGTTCTAAGAAATATCCTTACTTTCTACGGAAGGTACCGCATCAACACATGCCTTTGTAACATCCAGGAGGGGTTAAAATAGTTCATTATATCTGATCATGCAGCTCAAGCACTGGCTACGGGTTATCCGGAGTTAAGCTGTTCGGCTTATTTGGCAGCTAGTTGGCTGTGGCTTGGGCTTCTGTGATCACGTAAGGCTTATGAACTGGTTTCTAGTTGCCTTCCAGAATTATTTGCAGGCCTTTGATCCTGCTCTTTTAAAGCCATTAAAGTGTTGAGAATCATTTAAATAAAGAAACTAGTTTTAGTGCCTGGATCGCCTTGACAGCTATGACTTTCTGGGACAATAAAGTTCACAAAACATCAGAAACTAGATATGGCCAGTATTCATCCAGTTATGGCACACGTTTCTCAAGGGCATCAAGCAGATATAGAGATGAATTATCTTGAGGATATTAACTTTACTCTTCCTAGAAGGTCTTTCTATTTTATCAGCTCGCTTGGCGAAACTCGGTTTCGCAAAAGAAAACCCCACTGACCAGGAATCTCTGGCGCTGCCTCTTCAGATTAGTCTTTGAAGTGCGTTGTTGGTGGTGGTCCTCCTAGATGAGCCATTGTGTTGGAGTGAAAGCATGTCTAATGTGAAGAAACAGAAGTGGCCTTCTGAAAATGCTTAGCTAAGCTGTTTTTTTCTTAAAAAAAAAAGTTATCTGTTTATAAGCAAAGTAGCAATATTGGAAATATGCAATGTTGGAAGGCAGCCTAGTATTATGAGTGTAAGCCCAGAAAGTAGAAGACCAAGACTCAATTTGCACGTCTCTATAACGAGAGTACCCTAGAATGTCTTTGATAGTCAGCTAAGGGGAAATGTCGATGCTGTGCCACTGCATAGCGAAGAATATAAGATTCATAAACATAAGGACAAATATAGAAGTGGGATTATAGACATGTTGATCACAAGATTGGTTGTTGAACGGTTTCTTCTAGCTTATACTATCTCAGGCTACTGAAATAGCATGGCTAACCTGCAAAGGGAAAATTGTAGGTCACGTTGGAGTTTGCAACGTTACTTACAGGAATAGTGGAAAGACTGACTTATAGGTCTGTCTTGGTATGTTCTTCAGTAATTGGAAATTAAGGAAGCATACATTTCATCCTTCTGTAGGTAATTGCCACTTTTGGTCTTTTATTCTGCCCTTAGTTTTTTCTTATTTAATTGAGATAGAAATAAATTGACAGCTGTTAAGAGGAGACTCTAACTGTTAGACGCTGAAGTACTTCCTGCCAGCCAAGGATAAATAAGTCTGTTTAATGAGTAACAACAAATGTTGTGCTCTACAGTGGAAAACAAGTGATAGTGGTTTGTGTGACAGATTATCTTGTTTCACTTAATGGCGTGGCAGAGAAGACAAAATTCCTTGCTTCCCTGTTTTCCTTAATTTAAAGTAGCAGTGGAATCAGTAGAATCTACTTGTTATTTTAGTGCACTGTAAATAACATGTGTAACAGCTTATCTGAAAGAGTGGATTGATCAGGCCCGTGCCCATTATTTAGAGTTGTTTAGATCATAGAAACAAATTTCCAAATATTTTTTCACAACATAACATGGTGCCCTATTATGAGTCATTGACTAAATAGCTGCATTTCACAATGTACTTTAATCTGCAGCCTGTGCTCGCTAGAAACAGTTTCAGAGGAAATCTGAATTGTGTGATTAGTCCAACTTTGTGTGCTTTGCATCGCTGTCTCTGTGATGCTCTAGTCCTAGTCCAAAGCATACGTCGGTGCCTGGGCATACTAAGTATTGAGTTTGGAAACTGCTTGATGGATATTAAAAATATGTCGATACTACTCACTGTGAAGATCAGGAGCTCTAACTCTTGAGTCAGTACTGCTCTTTTTAGATACACTGAAGAAATTAACACAACTGCAAGGGTACAAACTCTATGTTTGTAACATTCATCACACTTCGATGAAAGTATTCTTTCGGTTTCTCCTCTGTAAATTTGGAAAAAAGCAAAAGGTGATGGTAAACAGGCTTTATTCCTTGCACTTTTTTAATGAGATCCTGAAATACCAAGCTTGAAGATATTAAAGAATTTTTGATAGTCCTTTAATTTCCTAAGTCAGCTTATTTTAAAGGCATGTCAACGGTTTGACCAGGACCATGTTGTGGCCGCTGTACAGAGTGGTTGCTAAGGAAGAACAATGCTCTTCAGAAGTAAATAGAAAGCCGTAACTTACATGATATGCCTCTTGACCTGCAGGGTAGAGCTAAAGTTTCTGTGGCTGCTAGTGTCTTGTTGCCTAAGTCATTCTGATTAATAGTCTGAAAAACACTTGCTCTAAAACATTGTTAGAAATGATCCCTTCCTTTAATTCTGTAAATATCATAGTGGAAAGAAATAAGACATATATTCTTATAGTGCCCAAACAGCAAAAACTTGTTTGGGTAGTTCCCTTATTTCTACAAAGTAATTTCTGAAATAAATAGCTTTTTTTGCAATGTACCTCTAGGAATGAGGTTGAAAGAACTCCAGAAAAGCAAAATACTATGTAGTTGTAATATATGTTAGTTTAATAACAACTGGATGCTTAAAGGGCTAAATACAATGCTCAGACTGTTTGTCTGTTAATATAAACTGTAACATAAAATTATTTTTGCTTAGGGATAATTCCATCAGATTTAAGTTTTAAACAGTGTCTTATTAATTTCTGGGTGAAAACAGTAGTTTCATTTCAGCAACTAAAAAGCTACACATACAATTTTTGAAGTTTCACAGTATCATTGTGCGAGCACTGGCTCGTACAATGCCAAAAATTCTTAGACCTGAGTGAAAAAGTTACAAAATGTTCATTAAGCTTTTATTAACTGGTTTATTTTGATGTAGTCCTTTCAGTTTCATAAAGCCATAGGTCTGTTCTCATTTTTGTGGAAAAAAAAGCCTTATCTGTAGACTTGCTATGATACAGTGATACTTTAATCCACTGAGCATAAGAACAGTAAAATGTAGAATCTGTTTATGTCTTAGTTTGTGTTTGCATTTGGAGGAAGACTACAGCAGCTGATTCTCTCCAACAGCTTTCTTATGTGTTTCTATTTCAACTGGAAGTGTTTGTGTTCTTTCCATTTTTATGTTCTACTGGTTCCAACTTGTTTGCAAATAACGAAGTAAAACGTGGAAGTCTTAAGTATAATGACTTAGCATTTAGAATATGGTTTTATTGGAATATTTGAAAATACTTTCCAGTTTTAATGGCACCTAGATTTCAAAGTCTGCTTTGTTTGAGTGTTTGTTCTCTCTTTATATGCAAGTGACAAAGTGGAAGAGAGCATTTTAAATACTGTCTGAAGACTAGCAATGTGCACTATTTCTGAAATTTCTCACTAAAATAAACTGCACCCTTATTTTTTTCTCTCCCCACTTTCTCTTCACACATGGCTGTCAGCCGCATAAAACAAACCTCATATTGGCTGTGTAGCTGTGTTGGAAGAAGTGCTATTTTAAACTGCTGAAGTCAAGAGGGCCAGCTGATATAACGGTCGAGATGTTGCTATTTTGCCTTTGCCCAGGCTCTTTTTCTTTCTTTTCTTTTTTAGACTTTTGTTTCTCTTAGTAAAGTTTCATGAATCCTTACATGTAGCCAGTGTGCCTCATAAGAATCGCATGTTGAAGATCAAAGCTCTGTGCTGCTACTTTCAATACTTAGCAGTTAATACATTCAAATAGTGGTACCAGCAATGAAAACAGCATAGGTGATACTACAGAAATGCCAAATGTACTTACTGTTGCATGCCTTTTCTATTAACTCACACATAGACATTAACATTTACAGGTTTTGGTGATTTAGAGTAGAACCGCTTAGGGTTGAAGGGACCTCTAGAGGCCTCTAGTCCAACGTCCTGCTCAAAGCAGGTCCAGTCAGAGCAGGCTTACTTCAAGCCTTACTGTCAAGTTCTGAACCCCTCTGGGGATGGAGGTTGCACAGCCTGTTGGGCAGTCTGTGCTGGTGTTTGGCCATGCCCATGATTTTTTTTTTTTGTTTTGTTTATTTTTCCTTAGATCAAGTTCAAGTTTCTTATTTTCCAACTTGTATCCGTTGCTCTTACCCTTCTAGTGTGTGCTAGTGAGTTGAGTCTGGCGCCATCATCTTTGCGCCCTTTCTTTTGGTAGCTTAAAACAGCTCTCTAACTTCCTCTTAAGACAGAACAAACCTAGCTCTCTGTGTGTCCTTGTACATCAGGGGGCTTTGGGCCCCTGACTGTCTTGGTGGCCCTCTGTTGGACTCATTGCAATACATCAAAGCCTGTCTTGTACACGGGGGCCCCAACCTGGACACATTTTAGAGAGGAAGGATCACTTCTACCTACTGTCTACAGTCACTTGATTATACAGCCCATGTTGTGGTTGGCCGCCTTTGCTGCCAGGAGAGCACACTGACTTGTGTTCAGTTTATTACTGACCAGGACTTCCAAATCAGTTTCTGCAAAGTTGCTGTCTAGCCAGTCAGCCTAAGCGTGTATGGTTGCATGGGGTTATTCCATCCCAGATGCAGGATTTTGCATTTGCCTTTGAACTTCATGAGCTTGTTTTTCCTGCCTTTTGAGATCACTGTAAATAGCAGTCCTGCCCTCCTGTGCCCTTCCCAGTTTGATATAATTTCCAAATTTGCTGTGTGTGCTCTATGCCATGATCTAGGTCATATTAAATAGTTTTGGCCTTAGTGTCAACCCCGGATGGATATCACTGCCAGCTGGATTTTGTAGTGCTGATTACCAACCACCCTGAGTGTGATAGATCAGCCAGTTTTCCACCTACTTCCCACTTACCTGGTTTGTAACTTGCAATAAGGATGCTGTGCGAGACTTATAGTCCTTGTTAATGTCATTGTCTGTTTCTCCCATCCTAACCTACACGTTGTAGAAGGCTAGCGGGTTAGTCAGGCGTGAGTCCCTGGTAAATCCCTGCTGGTTGTTTCCCATCACCTTCTTCATGGAACAAGAGTAGCTGCTTGGAAGTAGCTTCAGGATGGGGTGCTCTATAACTTTCCCAGGGATGTAGGTGAGGGTGACTGGCCTGTAGTTACCAGGCTCCTCCTCTTTGCCCTTCTTGAAGATAGCTAGGATGTTTTCCTTTTTTCAGTCATCAGGAGCCTCCCCTGGTCACCGAGACCTTTCAAAGATGTTAAAGAGTGGGCTCACAAATGCAGCAGCCTGCACCCTTGACACTGTTGGATGTATCCTGTCTGCTCCCACGGACTTACGTAGGTCCAATTAGCTTAAGTACTTGCTAACTGTATCCTCCCCTGCGGTAGGTAATGCTGCACTCCCACAGACTCCGCTAGTGGGTTTCAGGAACTCGGAGGACAGGAGGCCAACCTTATTAGTGAAAACTAAGGCAAAACTGGCATTGAGTATCTCAGCCTTTTCCATGTCCTTTTTTCACCAGGTCCCCTGCTACATTGTGCTGGGGCCCCGTGTTTTCCTTAGCCTTCCTTTTGTTGCCAGTGTACTTATAGAAGCCCTTCTTGTTGCCCTTCGCATCCTTTATTATTTCAACACAACCTGGGTTTTGGCTTTCCTAACTGCTTTCCTGCATGCTCAAGTAATGCCTCCTTAATGCTTTTGGATAGCCCATCCCTCTTGTCTGCCTTCTGTATTTGAATTTAAGCTCAGTCAAGAGTTCCCGTGCTGATCGGTTCTGGCCTTCTGCCACACTTGCTTGACTTCCTGCGATGGGAATGGACTGCTTTGAGAAGGTTGTCCTTGAAGATTGAACTCCAGTTCTGAGTCTGTTTGCCCTGCTGGGCAGTCTCCTATGAGATTTTGTGAGGCAGATCCCTGAGTAAGTCAGAATCTGTTCTCCTGAAGTCCAGAGCTGTGGTTATGCTGTTTGTCTCACCCATTTTGCTCAGGATTTTAAACTCCATGTTCTCAAGGTCACTGCAGCCGTGGTTGCTCTCAGCCTTCACAATTTTGACTAGTTCTTCCTTGTTTGTGAGTAGTGCAGTTATGTGTCCAACTTAAGAAACTCTTGCTCTTATCAGGCAATCTTAATGAACAGATCCTGCATTGCCATTTGCCACCTTGAAAACTGGGCCCACCAGTGTGGGCCCCACACCACAAAGGGTTGTATATTCTTCAATGAGTCTGATCATGTTGATAATCTCAGCTCAAGTGTATTGGGTATTGAAGCGAGTGTGAAAATTTCCACTTGAATGCTAATTGAGAAGAAATTCCACTTAATCCTAGATCCCAGCTGAGAAGGGATACTTGGGCAACAAGTAGAAACTCATGAAAAGTGTAGAGAAGACATCATTGAAATGATCGTATTAAAAAAAAATGTCACTCTATTAGTGACTTTTTGTCTAATGGAACTCTATTAGTGACTTTTTGTCTAATGATTAGATTAACTAGTGAAAAAACAAGAATGTTTCTCAGGAAGATAATTTAATACAACAGCAAAATAAACAACCAAAAATATGACTACAATCGGTAAAAATAAAGCTCTGAAAAGGTATCTAAACCAGATATGCAAATATGCATTGATTTTTATTCTATCTGAACCCCTGCAGGACTCCTGTAATGTGACCAAGTATCTTTTCCTGTTATATCTTTGAGCACTCATTTCATATAAATTAAAATTAATACGCAAGATGATAACAAAAGTGAAAATGAGTATCTGATTGAAATAGAGCAAATCTAGAAGAAAAAGAGCTATTTTATGTTAACCTGACAGGTATCAAGAAGCTAAAGGAAAGTAAGCAGCTGAAGGTTTCTGGGTGAACCCTTCAAACACAGAGAAAAGTACCCTAACACTTTATCCATTAAGGATCCGTAGAGTTGAATTACTTGCATAATTGCTGAATAATTGGGATGCAAAGCAGCAAAAGTCCTTCCATTTGAATGATACTGTCCAAAAAGCATACAGAACTGTCTGCTTTTCTAAAACAGTAACACTTTTGTCAATGTGGAAATGGCTGGTTCATCTCTCAGTAGATAACTGGGCATGTTTTGTACCGGCTTTTTTGGCTGGCTTAGGAAAGAGCTCGGAGAAAATCGAAGGAGGAAAAAGTAGGTTTGATCTAGTTCTAACCAAAGTATTCACATAGCTGAAGCTGGCGTTTAGGATGTCCCTCTTCTGTCCTCCCTATGTCATGTCTAATACAGATCTGATGTTCACCTTCAAAATTATTTTCTCTGGTTCCTGACTCCATGCTTTTATTTCTGCAGCATTTTTTCCTCCCTAGCAGTCTTGTCTTGCTTCTAGCCATTCACAGCACAGTCGCAAAAAAATTACTGGCTGTGGCTTTGAACCCCTTTTTTCTTTGCATGTCTCCACATAAAAGATAAGCTACATAGCTTTGCCTTGAGGGATTTTTTCCCACCTTCCATCTACTGTTCCATCTGTTACCTGTCTGGCAGTCTATCTTACATATGGCCTTATGATGCCAGTTTTTATCTCATTAAATTTTCAGACAGGCATCTTTGTCCTTTTTCTCAGGTTTGAGTGAAATTCTCTTGTTACACAGAGGTATCTCATTAGCCGACTTCAGGGGTCTCCTTAAAAATCTACTGGTTTTGATGATTCTACAATAAAGTTTTTGAGCTGCTGGTGTGTCAAGACTGCTACCTGTCCTACTAAGCCAATTTTCTTATTGCTTCTTATATTGGTAACTGTCACTTAAGAGCCAACTCATTGTATATTGAAACTTTGGACTTCTTATTTGTAAAGTTTCTAGGGGCTATGGTAGTAGGAGTAATAGAAAGCTTCACAGAAATAGAGGACTTTCATCTGATGAATATATTGTTCAGGAGTTTGAATAGCTGTTTTTGAGTTTAGGGCTTTTTGCAGTAGTATGGAGCAGGAGAAGGAGAATCTACATCACTTGTATGTCCAGTAGCTTAATGCTCTCCTTCTAATGTTGCCTCTCCTGGTTGTATGGGGCTTTTTGTTTTTGTAGGGGAGTGTCTCCCTGCTCCCTCTTGTGTAATCTTTCCAAATAATAATTGGTGTCAATGTCAGTTGCAGTACTGTTTAGATAGTCTGAATAGCAGCAATGAAACCTGAGTACTTTGAATCGTGGGTAGACTAGTCATTGGCATCACAAGAAAAGTACTAGAAGTATAGCACTTTAATGCACAAACACACATTCCCCTACTGTTTGTTTTATTGTTCACAAAGTGGTGATTGTCTTTGCCACCTAGGGGTTTTAAAAAAGGAGTTAAAATGGTCTTCTCTTTCATAGGCTAGTAAATACTTACATTTTCCCTTTTCACCTTTTTCATTAAAAGCTAATGAGTTGGGCTTATCCATCTTGGCAAAACTTAAAGATGGTGTAGAATCAAAAGATCTTGTTGTATTTACACTAGCAATCTTTTGAGGGACTTTTCTCTTATCGTACTTGAAACAATTTAAAGCTAGTCAAAAAGGGTAGGTGCTGCAAAGCCTTAATCATAATCTTTGCCCAGTCCCACAGACCTCTGCTCAAGGGACCAGAAGTTTCTTGAGAGCTTGGGGGGGGAAAAAAAAACACCCCCCCCTTTTTTTTCTCCTCCTTGAATTTATGATTATATATTACTTACCAATAATGAAAAAAGTGATAAGAAAAAAAGGAACTGAGAGAAGATGTTTACATGGCCTTATGAAAAGAAAATCTCCATATTTCATAATGCAGCCAGAATCAAATTCTAAACCAGCTCTGGGAACTTCATAGATTATTGCTATAGCTGTGCAGAAAGCTATATTAATTTTTTCAAGCTTCTCTTTAAACTTTTTTCAAATTTAATTCTCCTTTACTTGCCCTAGGTTTTGATCTTATCTCTTACAGGGTATAAGGGAAAGTAAAGACTATATTTGGAATGGTAAAGTGCTTTTTTTTTTTTTCTCAAAACATTGACTAAACTATAGCTTCACTCTCTTCATAATAAACTTAGCAGTATGTATGTTTCCTGTTGCCCCCTTGTAAAAGCTGTTTCTAAATATTACTGATTAAAACTTTCCTTACCCCTTATGAGTACATGTACTTCATACATTCACTTGTATACCTTTTGAAGAGATGGTCGTCTTTTTGTCAACAACCCTGATTCTTGCCCAGTCCAAGTTGAAATTGGAATTTGGATGAGTCTTGTGTTTGAAATAGACGTTTCTTGTATTTTACTTCATATAAGAAATATCCAAAATAAATGTTTTACTGTAAACCTATGTAGATTTTTTTTCAAACAGTATAGCTGTCACTGAATTCCTGTGCATATGTGTAAATATGTTCCATAGGCAGGTTATGGAAACAGGGAAAGGCGTAGATGGGTGACTTTGGCTTGTTGGCCCATGTGATTCATTGTGTCTCATTCTCAAGTAGCTAGATCCTAGGTAAAAGATCTACAATCCAAAGACCCAAAATGTAATATGCAGCTGTAGTATAGGAGAGATTTTGATTTAGACACTTCTGAACAATTCTAGAGAAGCATCTGAGAAATGTTTAGAGATTCGTGATTATTGTCTGCAACTTAATCTTTGTTTACGTCAAAACTCTGTTACTCCATCACAGTTTGAAAGGATTCTTCCTATAAAGGAACACCTTAAAAGGTACGCCTAGTAACGTTTGCACTTTTCTGTCTCTTTGGCCAAAAGCCATTAAAGAGCACTCCCCCCCCCCCCCCCACTGAGCTGCTTAAACTCAGCAGCTCCAATATACTGCTACCTATACTGGTATAGGGTATTCTGAAGTACTCATGGAGTCAAATAATATCGTAAGCTTATTCATATATACTCTGCCCCACAGTTACTGGTTAAAGTGAATACTTGGTACTTTTCTATACTGGTAATAAAACACTTTCAAAATGATTAAAATGCTTTGATGCTTAATAAATACTGTTAGGGATGAGTTTTCACTTCCCTTTCATATAGCTATTTAAGTAAGTTAGACATGGGGGTTTTATACGTCTTCGCTTAGCACTAAGATTTATTCAGTCTTATTTATTAAAATTTGAATCTCATTTGTTCTTATTTTGAGTTGTTGGGAAGTCTGTGCTCTTGCGATGGTTTCTACCTTGAAACTACTCCTTTATGTTTCTGAAAAGATCAGCTTATGAACACTCATCTGTTTTATTAATATATATATTTTTTTCTTTTCCAGTTTCTGAAACAGTTAGGTATACATCCTGACTGGCAATTTGTAGATGTTTATGGTATGGAACCAGAACTGCTTAGCATGGTGCCAAGACCTGTTTGTGCAGTGCTACTTCTCTTTCCAATAACAGAAAAGGTAAATGTTTACTTAATAATCGGTGAATCACTCTTTTTGTAAATGAAGTGGGAGTGAAAACTTTGAATCGTGTACTTCAGTGTCGTAATAGAATCAAAATGAGACTGAAACCTTATTCAGAGACTTCTTAATTAAAAAAGAAAATTCCTTCAACACTTTCTTGTGATAGCCTTGTGTGTATATTCCCAATTGCTTTTTGCACTCCAATTAAAACACTTTAAAAGTTAATGTAGAAGCAAAGTATGGCTCATACCTCTCTCTTATGAACAATTTCAAGACTTTTTAATATTATGTACTATGAAATTGAACATTTTTGCTGCTTTTAGTAGAAAGCCACATACTTTGCATGTGCAAAGTATGAGGAAGTTTTGAATTTTGGCACTGTCACACTGACCAAACTTCAGCCCATTTTTAGTTCAGTCATTAGTACCAGTATGACTTTTACTTCTTGGACAGATGGGGCATGTTTCTAAGACGAGACTGTGTGTGTGTGTGTGTGTGTATGTATATATATATATAATTTTTTTTTACTGCCCCTTCCCCCCACCACCTTCCTGACTGCTTATACTCATTCAAGAAATAAAAATAAGTTACCATATGTTAGGCAGGAATTTGAAATAACTTAATTTAGTTAAGTCTTTAAGTCTGCTTATTCTGCGTAGTTATGTATTTCTATATAAAGAAGATACCCGTCTCTTCTTCAAAAGTTAGATGGCTATAGGTTGAAATGTGCAGTTCCTATTGATCTTTTAGCCTGTAAAAGTCTTACATGATTGTGGAAAGGTCCAAAGTCAGCCAAAAAGTTTGAAGTCAATTTTTCTCAACTTCCTACTTCTGTAGACCATTTGTTCTTTTTGAGGTATGCTAAGGACGAGTGGAGAGAACTAACAGTGGCTAGGTCAGTCCTCTTCTGTTACGACCTTTTTAAGCCTCTGTACATTAGCTTGTTCAAAACACCTATGAAGTTGGTCCCACTCACGCTTGATTTCGGCTAGCTTGATGGCTTTAAATTGAAGCAAACTCTGAACTGCTCTTTCTTGTCTTCAGGAATTTTTTTTTTTTTTCCTCTCACCTTTGAAGGTTGCGTCTATTTTCTGTGTTTTGACTTTTTGGCCTCTGGCTGCTTGAGCTGTGCAGTCTGAGCTCCCTCTGTGACCATCCCTTTCTTCTTCTGCCTGCCACATCATGCAGTCTGTGCAAACTTGCTCCCTTGGAGCATGCGAAGGGAGCAGCATCCCAGAGGAAAGAGCAGCCTCCCTTTTGTTACAGAGGATCTACCTGGTTTCATTCTGTAGAAGCATGAGACAGAGGGAAATGGCATATATTGCATTGATCAGTCAGATTTGATAATTAACAAAATATTTGAGATTTTCCTCTAGCATGTTAACCCTTCAACGTAAGGGACACAAGTGTTTCTATCAGCTATGTAGTAACTCTTCCCCTGAGCGCGTGTGAGCTGAATCTTTTGCATTAAGCTCCTGTGGTCTTAAGCTATTTTTGCTCAGTGTAGACTTTGAGTTGAGCATTATTTAATATTTTTGTGGAGTATTTTTCCCATCTTCCATCACCCTTCCAATACTGTCCATCGTACTATGCTTGTATGTTGGCATATTATTTGTCTATTTTTTGGCTATGCCTACATTTATGAAAGCATACCACTTCATTTTGCTGCCTTGTAAATGTTCCCCTATCATGTCTTTGTTCTTCTGTCTAGAAATACCTCCTTTCTTCTGTCCTTCCTATGTATCAGTTTCTTTGAACTTACTTTCAGGGTTAGATGCTCTCATTAAAATAAAAATCATCTGTATGCTCATTGTCCAGTTAAAGGTTAATGACTTGATTAGTTTACATCATAGCTTCTAGAGAGAATGAGTGCTGTATGTGTTGGGAACTTTGGGCATGATCCTGTAAATGCATATCATGGTATAACTAAAGTTGGAAGAGACCTCTAGAGGTCATCTGGTCCAACTCCTGTGTAAAATCATATTTTCAGTATTCCCCAAAAATCAGTCAATCTCTCTCTCTTTTTCTCATTTTTTGTTTTCTTCTGTAGGGGTCGTTACGGTTGACAAGGAGTGAATGGCAGCTCTTGCTGCCCTCTTTAACCCGCACTTTTGTCCAACATGCTTTTTAAAAGTCCCCAAGTAAGATTACTGTTGCAAGCTTGTAGCTAAGTGGTTAAGATACGTCATAAATGCACTTGCTATTAATGTGAACATTCAGACAAGCTGTAGATGTGGAACCACAATGCTGGAAAAAAAATTCCTTGTTTGTCTTTGTCACTGACGTATGTAGAGTTTGAGAGAAGTTTCTAACAGTTCCTCAAGAAGAGTTCCTTGATATGTTCTACATGCAAACTTCAGATTTGCCATGCTTGTATCAAAAGTCTAACTACTTTGGTATTTTTTCTGTGAAAAGAGTTAGTAGAAGAGAACGAGGCAAAGGAGAAAGAAATATGGCATTGTCTGGAACAGTCTCTTTCCTTGATTTCCCTATGAGATTTGTCTTTTTTTTTTTTTTTTCCTTTTGCATCTCCCATTCATGAATCTTTATGATTCACAAATCCTTAGCAGTCTTTACAGATTTCTGAATGTAATACTAACAAATCTGTTCAAATTTGTTATGTGCTCTCTTGGCATACTCCTGGATAGTGTTTCATAGATTCTTTATGGAAGTTGGGATATACTCCTCCACCTCAAGGCTGAGCTAACTGTTTCCAGCACTTTAGCCTCTGTTGGCAAGTTACTACTCTGGAGGCCTGTCTCCTGTATTCCTACCTAATTTTTAAAATTAAGGGGAACTGCAAAGCTACATTTGTGCAGAATTAATATGCTACAGTGGGTTCTGTGGGCAAGTACTGCTTGAATATTCTCTAATTCTTGGATATTACCATGATGCACAAATGGTTGAAAACTCCTTTTATTTTACTGCTAAACAGGCAGTTAAGGGGGAAGGTCAGTATTTCCAGAAAATAGAATTCCTGCAGTAGCTAAAAGAATGGAATGTTCTATAATCGGCAAAAACAGATGTCTGGCACTTACAAGTTTGCTGTCTTCTCCGATAAAAATCAATCCGTGAGGCACACTGAGAGGGTGGCAGTGTTTAAAATGAGAATATAATTTCATTTCGTAGTGCAGAATAAGAAGACTGGTTGTCAGACTAACCTTTTGGGGGTTGTAGTCGCTCTTCCTTCTTTCTGTTTTATGCTGGTTTTACACAGCTCACAAACTTCAACATCTTTCATCCTTCCTAGTTAAATCTGTCTGTTGTCAATAAAGCACATGAATGATGTTCTGTTTAAGTGCCTGTTGAATATTCTTTATGTTTACTAATGTTTTCATGAAGTTCTTCTCTTAAAGCAGAATGCTTAATTTCAGGAGTCATTTCTTACAACAGCACCAAAGGACCTAAACTGAATTCAGTCTACCTGATCTGAAGCACTTATCTTAACAAATCCAGAAGCAAATGGTATTAGCCATATCGTTTTCCAGTAAATTTAACTAGTGCAGCTAGTATCTCAGCGTCCTTTCAGGTTTAACTTAGTTATTCCCCTAGTGAGGAAAAGAGGAAACCTCACAAAATAAGCAAGAGCCTTATTCCCAAGGCTTCTTCCCTCATTTACAGTTTTCTTTCATCCTTTTCTAGATGAGATGAAAACCTTAAAAACAAAACAACAACAAAACCTGTTGCACAGACAGATTTTCTTCACCAGTTTCTTGGTCAATGATAATTTTACTAAATATTTTAGCTTGCTCAACCAAAATAAATTCTATCTGTTACTACTAGAATCATGACCTTACAAATAAAGCTTTTGAAGGCCTGTTTTCAGGCGATGAGCATTATATGAATCTTATTTTATCTCTCTGGGGAAAAAATGAAGTGTGAAGAGATGGAGCTTATAATAATGCTTCATATTGATAAACACCTGAAGTATTATGATTTGCTTGATAGACCTTTGAAACCTTTATCCTTAAACATTTTTTGTTGAACTGAAGAGAGATGGTGACAGATCAACGAAATACTTTGAACTTTCTTGAAATGTTAGATAAATGCATATTTCAGTGATGGATTAAGGATGATTGTTCCCTGGCTAGCAAGAAGACATTAAGACATGATATAGAACTTTTCAATTAAGTAAGTCAACATATACTGGTTGAACCGCTTGTTAAGTGTTTTGAGCTAATTTTTGTGTGTGGTTTCTCTTTTTTTTTTTTTGCATACCTATTTTTTTTTGCTGAATGATGTAAACAATTGGTATCTAATTAGCAAAATGCTGTGTAACTTTCCATCTAGTATGAAACCTTCAGAACAGAAGAAGAAGAGAGAATAAGAGCCAAGGGGCAAGATGTCAAATCATCAGTGTATTTCATGAAGCAGACCATCAACAATGCTTGTGGAACAATTGGACTAATTCATGCTATTGCGAACAACAGAGATAAAATGAACTTTGGTAAATTTCTTTCTTAACATTGTGGAGAAGGCATGGAGGGTAGGATAGATTGTGTACTATTTCTCTGAATGTAAACATTTGTAAAGGACAATTTCTACTCATAAAGCATTTCTGCCTATAATTATAAAAATAATCTTTCATACTAAACCAAAAACTAAGGCACTCAAAATGTTGAATAATGCAGCAGATAGCAATTCCTGTTGCAGTAAGCCTCCTGTGTTCTGATTATATATTTAAATCTTTTGTTGGATATAAGCATGCTGTAAGCTTTGAATGATGTTGGAGTTAAAGCATGAATCAAAACTTTTGTTATGTAATGTTCAGCTAATTTATTAAGATATGAAGCACAGATAAGAAAATTATTAATGTTATGTCTTTTTTTAAGAAACTAATTCTTCATTGAAAAAGTTCCTAGAAGATTCGTTATCTATGACTCCTGAAGAGAGGGCCAAATATCTAGAAACTTACGAAGTTAGTATCATGCTTTTTACTTTTGTTTAAAACCATATAAGAATTATTTGCATGAGTAGATACAGTCTTTAGGACTTAATCTGGTCAAGTGTTTGATCAGTTTAACTTTAAGTGTGAGCCTGTGATCAGACAGTTGTTGCTGCAAAAAAATTACTTTGATAATTTAAGGGATTACTGCTCAGTCAGCAGAATGGATTTTGTCAATGTTCCTCATCCATATTAGTTCACTGGCTTAGTTTAAAATTACTGTAACGTGGATGAGAAATGTATGCACAATCTCTTTGGTTCGTTCAGAATCCAGTTTTACAGTCAATTTGAGCTGATCGGAGGCCATTGTTGAAAGGATGATCCGTCTACTGCTTCTTTCTGTTTGTGCCTTCTAATCATCTCGCTTGCTTTGGCTGTAGCACTTCTGGCCACGCAGGGAGCTGATTTGACTGATTATATTGACTATAATCCTCTCACAAAAACACATATCACCACTGAGAAATTAGGTGAGCTAGCTGAGAGGGTCGTTAGGTAGTTCGTTCATGCTGGCTCAAAGGACGGGGCAGAACCATTTGGAGAGGGATGGAGAACAGCTCCTCATGGTAGTGATGATCCTCTGTCGAAAGGGAAATTGCGATGACTTCAAGTGTTAGTTCGATTTAACCTTATTGTGAAACCTTCAGGAATAAGGATGGTAACTTGTGGCTGAAGGATATGATAATAAACAGGAACTGTGGAGATTTGATTAAAATTTAGCGTCTATCACTTCTGCTGAGATGTCTGATCACAGCTTCTGCCTAAAGTGTATATGAGTTCCTGCTTAGTAACACAATATAAGAAAAACACTTGCTAGTACTGTTGTCTGTTTGTTAAAGTTCAGTTACCAGCTGTTAGATATTTTATTTGAATTGAATTGAATGAAATTGAAATATTGATCTCCTGAGATCTTTAGAAGTGGAGGTTATTTCTTGATTCATTTTTTTCAAGAGCTGTTACTTTTGTAAAATGAAGAGCGTAGTGATTCATTTAAAATCTCTTATTTAAAGTCTGACTGAAATATGTTTTAATTTCAGGCTATTCGTGTCACTCATGAATCCAGTGCCCATGAAGGTCAGACTGAGGTATTCATTCTTTTAAAAAAAAATTTAATTAATTGTAGCTCAATATACCTATGATGAAAGCAAGCAGTCATATGTAAAGATGCACAGTGAAGTGGAAATAATTGTTTTGTGTCCAGTATTGAGTTGTTGGTCAAAAATCAGAACTTGAAATCAAGTAGCCTTGGGGGAGGAAAAACACTTGAAGCTTTTTAATCTTTTGTATAATGTAGATGATGTTTTCAAGCTTTATTTTACAATAAAAGTGCCAGAAATAGTATTTTTAATGAAAGCTGAGATTTCAGTGTTGCAAATTCATAGCTGGGACTGTAAGATCCATAGTAATCGTACAAGCAGAACAAACATTGTTATAAGTGATTGAAAAGTTTTGTTTCAGGAAAGCAAATGGTGCAGTACTTAGTAGGATAAACACATTACTGTTTTGTCTGTAAAATCAGTCTGTTCTCAGCGTTGTGCTTTGTCATCCGTTATCAAATATGGGCACAAACCTTCAAGGATTACATACACTTTGGCATATGACAGGATCTGTATGACATGTTTGTTTTCATTAAGCTAAGGAGAAAGTTAAGAAAATTTAGACTTGGAGAAAACTGGGTGAATAACTGACCTTTGCAGTTTTAGAGGAGTGATTTTTTTTTTTTTCCTTAAGTGTGTATTGTGTGGTGTGTGTATGTGTTTTTTTTTTTTTTGGAAACTTTGGGTTTTTTTTTTTTTGTTTAAAGGGGTAACTGGATATTAAGGTTACCCAACCAGTCAGTCCTTTAGAGGCAGTTTGCCATATTTCTGGTTTAGACTTCAGTCTTCCACAGAAACAAATTTGGTTAGATTGTTGTTAGCACTCTGGCAAAGAGAAGAGCCCTATTTTGTTTGGCTTGGACTCCATTGAATCATCTGTTGCATATTTTTTTGCAGTACAGTAGGTAAGCTTTTCTTTTCTTTTATGGTTTATGCTGCGTCTTCTACACGCTCCAGAAGAAAGTAAAGCAGACCTTTCTGCTGTAATGAGTTGGTAGCAAGACCTCCTTTTCCTCTGTGCGGGAGGAATTGGTTTGCTCTAAAGCATAATTCTTTCTAAGCAAAACAAAATACGTGAAGTCTGAATATGCTAAGAAGTGTAACTGAGGATTAGAATGAGCTAATCTCCTAGTCTTGTTCCTGCTAGTTGTACATTTTGAATGTTGCTGCATAGCTGTTCGTGAAATGTGGAAGCGAGTGATGCACAGTGTGCACTTGTTGCTGAAATTGCTATAGGCTTGTCATACAAGGATATTAAGTTGTCCTGAAGGGCAACTTGATAATGTTGTAGCACCTTTAGACCAAGAGAGAAGATCCCATTTGTCTTGCATATCCATTATTTTCTGGCTGACTTCCCTGGGAACTGAAAGTTCCTTTCACAACACCGGAGAGGAAAGTATCTGCCTTCCTATGTCTTTATTGGGTTTTGTTCCTTTTTCTTCCTAGACTACTGAGGGCATTTTGCACAGAAGTCCTTCCTTTGGATAAAGTGGCTTAGGTAGTTGCTTAAAGATAGTAAGTGCCACGGCTTTCCAAGCAGAAAGTCCTTTCTAGGTGTCCAGCAAAATTAACAGTTAAGAAAACATATAGGCCTGCAATTTTGGCTTCGGTGGTACCTAAGAACAGCCAGCGTTCTAGGTGATTTTTGTGTCTCAGGTAGGTGCTGCGCACTAATATCCATGCAAATTCTTCTGAAAATATTGCTTAAACTCAATAGCGTGAGGGCAGAATGCTGAAAGTAGGATATGTGGCAGTCAGATGTGCTCATCTGGTTAAGAACGAATGCAACTGCTTTCAGGATGCTGTCTTTCCTCTTCCCCATACAAAACACGGCATCACATATTGTTCTACAGTACCATGAGGTGAAAGTAACATTTTCTGGAATTTTGACGTGTGGAAGGTTAAAAGTAGGAAAGAATACAGGCAGGCTCTCATCTGATAATATTTGTTCTGTGCTCTAATTTCTGAGATGACGCAGATAATCTAATAAGTCAGCCTTTAAGGCTGTAAGTAAAGCCTTTACTTGTTGATTGCTCCTGACAATCTTACTAAAACTTCAGATTCTTTTTTTAATCATCTTAGTGAATTCTTGATTTTTACAATATGCTAGTGTATTTTTGCTTTTACTTCTGTTGCATGTATGCAGTATTTCAAACCTGGAAATAAAGTGAGTCTACCTAGAAATAAAAGGTTAGAAGTAATGTGAGTAAAATGATTCTGTCTTTCCAATTTATGTGTACTCCATCTTATTAATTTATCTGATTAGGAGTCAGTTCTATTTTAGAATAGTCTGTAATCAGACCTATATTTTAATTTCTTATGTCTTAAAGAAAAGTGCTATTAAAAGATATTTGGCAGGAAATTATTACTGGCCTACCAAAGTCGACATTCCAATTAGTGACTGCTGGAAGAGAAGAGTTACAGTGGTATTTATCACTGTGTGCTCTATTTAGGTGAAATATTAAGATAAAATGCTAAGCAAATGGATTGAAGCTGACAGCTGCAAAACATTCTGCCTTGACAGATACTTTAAGAAGCTTATCAGGTTTGATAGTTATGATTCATTTGCTTAGCTTAAAAAAAGGCTGTGTTCACATCCACTTTGTTTAATTATTGGTAACAAATTCAAAAATTTTTGCAGGCAAGCTACAGACTGGATAAGAATCGAGTATTTTTTTTTATCAAAGTACTTGATGTTTTAATGAAGTTCCCTGATTATTTTTTTTTTTTGGTCAAACTAGTTAATGGTTTTTTTTTTATCGATAGAGAAGTCTTTTTGTCCTTTCAAAGATTATATTTTGAAGAACAGTTGTGCGGTTTTATTGAACTAATTTTCTTCAGATTTGCAGCTAAAGTATTGTTAACTTCAATTTAATCTATTGGGCCAAATTTTAGACCACATTTGATTAAAGTTCTTTAAGACTACTGGAATCTGTAGCTCCATGACTTATTCTTCTGCTGGAGTAGAAGAAATGAAGTGCTACAGGAATTCTCATGTTAAAAAAATCTAAGTCTGTTTAGAATTTACTGTAGGCTAGTCAACAGTAAGGTCTGTGAATTGTTCTGTTGGAGAAGCATGGTGTTATTCTCGGGCAATTTCAAGGATAACTTGATGCTGGTCCCATGGTTCACGTGCCATTTTGAATGAGGGCAGTTGAATGTAAGCTTTTTTTTTTTTTTAAACAATCTTTTTGTGTACGATTTGTGCTGCTGAAACTTGTACTTTCTCAAATGACAGGTATTTCCTATCCAAAGCAGCCGAAAAAGGATCTAGATCTTTAAGATAAAGCTGGATAGATCTAGTGGTATAAGGCCAGGTTTTCAGACTTCAGCTGTAGCTAGAATTCTTTGAACATTGATACTTTTGCTAGAGACGACTGTGCTCTTGGGAACGAAAAGGAAAACTTTCTTTATGTGCCAGACTGCTCCCTTTTTAGACTATATCTTTCTCCTTTCTCTATGCTAACTCCTGAAAGGCAGCTATTGATGAGGCTAGAATAGTTGCCAGCTACTCAAGATCTTTCAGCGGAAGCATCTTCTTTATTCTTTCATGGTCTTCTGCTGGGCGTGTACTTTTGTTTGTAGTATCTGTGATGTTTGAAAATGTGGAAAATACAAATGATTTCTTTGCAGAACTGCACAAGCTTTTAAGCTTATCCTTATATTGTCGCTGCTTACTGTTGCTGCAGTATATGCTTTTGGTTTTTGTTTTTTTTTGTTCTTTCTGTTCCCCCAGAGTTCAGGAACTGTTGAAACCGTATGCTACCACAAGTCGTAATTTTTTTATATGCTTTTGGAGGAACTTTATTCAAAGATAATAAAAAAAAAAAGCAGTCTGTGGATGCTAGACAAACAGCTAATTTATATCAATTATTAATGAAAGAAAATTATAGCAAAACTGGGGACAAATAGCAATTAAATTGTATACTGATCAGGGTTAGATTGATCTCTAACTCTTTTGTCTTACTGTCTTGGATTGCTTTCTTCCCGGACAATCATAGTAACTGACTATTTTCAAATAACATCAGAAAATCTGAGTGGGAGTTTTGTGAAAACAGGAGATCATTTCAGTACAATGAGGGGGGATTTCCAAGTTTACAGTCTTCTGCAAAGCGAGTAGTTCTTTTGAATTCAGAGTTGGAGAAAAAACTAATTTTATATCCTATCCCCTCACTTTCATTTATTAAAAGTTACTTCATAGTGTTCTGGGAGGGAGGGAGAGAAGGAGGAAAATGTGAAGTTGCCAGTTACAGAAATAAAACAGTAGAAATTGTTTAAATCACTTGCTGTCATAGCCTGAGAACAGTTATTCCGGGTATAAAATAATACCTATGCTGATTCTTGAAATAAATGACTTTTTAAATATAAGACTATAATAAAGAGAGTAGCAAGATATTTTATTCTGCTCTTGTATTACTGACATCCACATCTACTACTTTGCAACTATGCTTCATTGCAACTCAAGTCTACAGTACGAAAATGGAGAACTATACCATGTAAAGTACTTCTGAAAAGACTAATTGGCCTTTAGTCAAGGAAGTCTATCTAGAGAATGGTGTATACTCAGTCTCTGCAGTCATAAAGGCTTTGAAATGTTTAACTCATATCCGTATGAGTAATAGTGTTTGAAGTTCTAGCCAGCTGTGTGTGTCTGGCAGCTGAAATCAATCTAGTCTGGATTTTCAGGTCACCTAAAATATTTTCTGTCTTCTACCAACTTCCCGAACCAGCTTATCTTATGATCTCATAGGAGCTAATGCTGGCACAAGGGTGTTAGAAGCCTATTTCTGGGAAAACAGAAGAGGAGACTTAAGAGCCTAGACTTTTTGGGGACAGCAAATACTCAGATAGTTATGGTGATAAGTAATTCACAGATTATGTTGTGCAACATCAAGGTATTGCTGACTGCTGACACATGACTCTCCATATCACTTTTTATTATAAAGTTCAGATGGTATAGCCAGCTTTGTCTTGTGGTACTTGTGGCA